TCATATTCCTTCGTTGCCTTTTGAACGAAACACCTCCATGTTCGTTCCTCGGAAATGGGGAAAGGGCGTGAAGCAGCATAAACTCCATCCTTGTATTTGGGATATTTTCCCCAAATGTTTTTGATGGAATTGAGATTATCTTCACCAATAGCATCAAGGAGTTCATTGAAGACCTCCTCGAATGAGATATCAAGATAAAAAACAAAGGCCTTGTTTGAATGCAATGAGTACTCCACCTCATTGTTCTTGATCATTATCTCACCGTTCCAATGGGCTAGCAAGACAAAACTACCATCAGAGGCCATTTTTTGGTAAGAGGTTGTGAGAGAAGTGAGTAGATATGTGAGAGTAAAGCTCGGTGGAGAGATTGTGAGAGTTAAGCAAGAAATTTTTTTAGTTGGGTGGATTGAATGGTGTAGGATTGTTTATAGAGTATTGTGAAATATTTTTTTAGTTGGGTGAATTGTATGGTGCAGGATTTTTTGTAGTGTAATGTGAGATTTTTTTAGTTGGGTGAATTGAATGGTGTAGGATTGTTTGTAGTGTAATGTGAGATTATTTTTAGTTGGGTGAATAGAATGGTGTAAACTTGTTTGTAGTGTAATGTAGACATTTTTTTAGTTGGGTGAATTGAATGGTGTTATATTGAAAATTATACAAATTAATATCTACCCAAATTTAATACAATAATAAAGATGTTATCATCCAAACTAATACAAGAATAAAAAGTTTTTATCGTCCAAATTAATACAATAATTAAAAAAATTAAAGTATGATAAATGGATGGTCATCTAAGAAGTACAATAAATGGACGGGCCGTTTAAGAAGAAGGTGCGCCGCTGCTAGTACCGAATTGAGGGGAAGGGTGTTTTTGGATAGAAAATTATTTTTTTTGGATTAACGGTACAGGCAGTACCGTTAATTGATTTAAAATTTTTTTAAACTTTACGGTACAAGCAGTACCGTTAAAATCTTTTTCCACCTGACAGCACTGAACAGGAATGCTTTTTCTCTATCGTCACTGAACGGGAATTAATTCTCTATAATGTGGTAATAAAGTCCGAGGGTACTTTTCGTCCCAATGTCCGTTTAAATTGAAGATTCTATTAACTTTATCTAAAATTTCAAGTTTTACTCTTTTTATAATTATTTCGGGGTACCTCAAATTTTATACTAAGAATAAGTCATATTGTGTCTTTCCAGCAAATGTTTTTTACCTTTTTTCTGCATTAGTGACACTCATACTCTACATATTCAAAGAAAAAAATTACTCCGTAGTTTTTTGGTATTTTAATAAATATATGGAGTACGAGTGTGACTAATGCATTTTTAAAAATATTCTTTTAAATGCATTTTTAAATTTAGTGACCCATTAAATAATAAACTTGTAAATGCATAAAAAGTTAGAAAGTGAAACAAAAATGAAATGAAAAAAGTGAAAAAGATTTGCAAAACAAAAATACACTTGGGGTAGTGAAAATGCATTTAAAAAAGAAGAACGTCAAGACTATAAAAAGAATCATTTTTTGTTTAGATTTATAGTGTTCGGATGGATTCACTGGATAAACTTATGCGAAGTATCTACGAAAAAAATTGGTCGAAGATTCACTAGGAGATTTGGCAGAAAAAGATGAAAAACATTTTGCTGGAAAGATAGTATAACCTGCGAGTAATTAGTACTTCCTCGGTCCCTAAAAAAAACTTCCGTTTTTGACTTTTTGAGGATTTAAGGGAGAGATATTTTTGTGTTGATTTTCCAAAAATATCTTTGATGTGATGTGTAAAAGTAAGATGTGATATGTAGATATTAGTAAAAAGGTATGATGTGATAGGTAGGGTATGAAAAGTAAGGGGTAAAAGTGACTTTTTAATAGAAATGAGAAGTGTTTTTTGGGACCGATGAAAAAAGAAAGGAGAAAGGTTATTTGGAGACAAAGAAAAAACGAAAGAGGAAGTTTATTTAGGGACGGATGGAGTATAAAACTTGAGGTATCTTGGAGTAATAATGAAATGGGTAAAATTAAAAATTTAGGATCAAACAAACGGAAGATTAAATTTACCACCAAATTAAAATGCCCCTGCAATATGTTCTATTTTAAAATGGAACCCCTAAGTTCTTTCTACAAAAATACAAAATAGAGAGCACCATGTAACAATTTTCAATAAAAAAAAGCACGGTTAATTTGGCAATTCTGTCAGGCATATAAGAATAATTAATATTAATTATAGTAGAATTGCTATTTTAATTAATACTATATTTGATTCCTATGTTAGGTATCCCTTCGAAATATACTGGGATGTATCTTTCATTATTCTCAATCAATACAATTATTCTGCTCATTCAATAATATGGGATCAGGAACTTGTTGACCAAGGGGTGTCACGAGTTCAAAACTCAACACCTCTAGTTTAAAAAAAAGTTAAGCTTTCACGTGCAAGATTCAAAGAAGTAACATCTGCACATGAGGGAGCATGCGTGTGTTAGAGTAGATAAAAAACCTTTCATTAGCCACAACCACAAGTTTAAGTTTTTGGTTGAGTTGCCATTGAAATTCCATTGACATTTTCTAACAGAACATCTATGCCTAACTAGGGTTTGGATGGAACC